CCCCGTCCAGGTTTTCTTTCTGAATATCCGGCGTTGTATTGAACCATCCTCTGGTCTGTAAAACGACATCTAGGAAAGCGATTTAGTTGTTCGCCTCCGTTTCAGTGGAAAAACATACACTAATTTCCACAGCTTCGTTTCACTTAACCTCAAGCGGAACTTAGTCCAAGAAATGGCAGCCGGAATACGCCGCATCTGCTCTCCTGAAATAGTGGAAGTAGAATTGCAACAGCTACAAAACATATTCCATGGAAACGGTTATCCAGAAAGGCTCATCCTTCGGAACACCCGCTGACTGTGAGAACATTCCTCCTGTCTTCTCTGCGCAGCGCAATCAACGTCCTGCACGCACTGGTGCCCACATTCAGGAAACGAAGGGAAACCCAGATGCTTTATTATACCCACCAACCCCCTCCGGCTTCCCCCCAGCCTGACGATCATATAAACGCTGCAACTAACTGACCATTTTAATTCTACCCGTCACTGTACCGGCCTGATGATGAATGAGTGAAAACAGAACAAGGACCTATTAGTCTTAGATGCGGGTGCATGCTGTGTGGGTAGATGAGGGGGAGGTAATTATCACAGCATGAGAGTTCGTGTTACAGTGGGATAGTTTTTTATGCAAAACACAATACTGTTAGTTTTATAGGTGTAAGTATATCGCCTTTATGTGCTTTAAGATTTCAACCGGGTGGGCAAGAGTTCTAGCACCTACAACATTTGTGTATGTTCATCATCCTCTGCTGGGCTTTGGTCTGAACTCTGTTCTCTATTGTAGCCATCAGGCATGGCGTACGCCATACGTCTTCATCCTATCCTCTTGGGCCTGACTAGACCGTCCCTCCCCCGTTTGACACTGCCGTGTCGAATGTCCACCGCCACTTCATCCACCGGAGGAGAATCTAGAGGTGGCGGTGGTGGCTCTCCCAGCCAGAATGCAGCGTCACTTGGTTTGGATGAATTCAAGCAGCGCATAAAGCTGGGTCCGAGTTTGGTAGAGTTCGTGCAGGCCTCGGGTCAGCCGTTGCCGCCCGCCGGGATGTGTTCACCTTCGTTAAAACGCGTTCCCG